TGTATTTCCCCTAGGAGTAATGTTTCAATATTCACTAATTCGGTGTTCACAGTGACTTTATAAACATAATAACTACAGTGAATGGGAATCGGGTGTATTTTGACGGGGAGGGTAACAGACTAGAGCCAGAAGGCTTGGATCACAACCCTAGGTCTGCAAGTGACCTCAACTGGCCAGGTCTTGATCTCCTTGTCTGTAAAATGGGAATGATATTAATATTTGTTGTGTCCCCATGGTATTACGAGGATAAACTGAGATGATCAAAACTGTACTTTTTAGAAAATAGAAGGTCCTATAAAAATATCAACAATACTCTTCAATTAATGATGTGAGAAAGATGGATTTCCACATGCAAAAGAATGAAAGTAGCGCCTTATCTTACACCATACACAAAAGTCAGTTCAAGACGGATAAATGAGCTAAATGAAAGACCAGAGACCATAAAGCTCCTGGAAGAGAAAGAACACGAGGGAAAAGCTTCTGGACATTGGCCCTGACGATAATTATTTGGCTATCACACCAAAAGCTCAGGCCATAAAAGCAAAAATAAATAAAGGGAACTACACCAAGACTAAAGACCATCTGCACAGCAATCAACAAAATGAAGCAGCCACCTACGGATTGTTAAAAAATGCTTGCAAACCATGTGTCTCGAAAGGGGTTAATATCCAAAATATATAAGAACCCACACAACTCAAATCGTATGGGTTCTTTATATATATGAGTTCTCACAGTAGAAAAACAACCCAGTTTCAAAAATGGGCAAAAGATCTGAAGAGACGTTTCTCCAAAGACGACATAAAAACCGCCAGCACGTATATGAAAACCTGCTCAACATCATGATCGCCGGGAACTGTGAATCAAAACTACTGCGAGACAGACACCACTTCACACCCGTTAGGGTGGCTGTTATCAGGAAGTCGAAAGGCAACAAATGTTGGCACAGGTGGAGAAAAGAGAAGTCGTATACTGTTGGTGGGAATGTAGACTGATACAGCCACTATGGGAAATAGTCCCAAGGCTTCTAAAAAAATTAACAACAGAACTACCGCATGACCTAGCACAGCCCTTCTTTTGGGTAAACACCCAAAGGGAATGAAATCACTACCCCATAAAGGCATCTGCACTGCCATTTTCACTGCAGCATTAGTCAAAACAGCCAAGATATGGAACAACCTAGTGTCCATCAACAGACAAGCGGACAAAGAAATTGTGATGTATGTATATGTACTGGAAGATTGGTCAGACCTAAACAAGAATGAGCGAAGAATGAGATCTGGCCACTGCCACACACGGATGAGCCTGGAGGACGTTACGTTAAGCGAAATAAGCCAAACACAGAAAAAAAAAATACCGCAAGATCTCACCTACACACAGAATCTTAAAAAAACAAACATTCGAATATACAGAGAGAACAAAACAACTCCGGCCAGGGGTGGGGGGAAATGGGGAGATACAGGTCAGGGTACAAAGTAGCAAATACGTAGGATGAGCAGGTCTAGAGAGCTCATGTGCAACATATGGGTAAAATTGGGTAAAATTGCACCGTATCCGGGATTCAGGCTGAATGAGGAGATTTCTAGTGACTCTTGCTACAAAAACAAAAAAATGGGTAACTGTGTGTGATGATGGATATATTAATTAGCTTCACTACAGTAACCTTTTTACTATCTATATACCCCATAATATGCTGTAAACTTTAAATTAAAAAAAACACTCATTAGGCCAGGCACGGTGGCTCACGCTTGTAATCCTAGCACTCTGGGAGGCCAAGGCGGGTGGCTCGCTCAAGGTCAGGAGTTCGAGACCAGCCTGAGCAAGAGCGAGACCCCATCTCTACTAAAAATAGAAAGAAATTAATCGGACAACTAAAAATACATAGAAAAAATTAGCCGGGCATGGTGGCACATGCCTATAGTCCCAGCTACTCGGGAGGCTGAGGCAGGAGGATCGCTTGAGCCCAGGAGTTTGAGGTTGCTGTGAGCTAGGCTGACACCACGGCACTCACTTTCACTCTGTCTCAAAAAAAAAGAAAAGAAAGAAAAGAAAGGCTCTGCTGAATATTTCACGGATTACACAGTAACACCGGCCCTCCTGGGTGGTGCCAGAAATAACGTTTCTCCCCAACTTCTTTCCTTCTGGGGAAGGTCTAACACCTTCCTTGTCCCCGTTCTTAGCTGCCCGAGTGAAATCATTTTTTCTTGTAGACTGGCAGGCTTATTTCCTTTTAACTCTCACTTCAAGAACTGCCCCCCGGTATAAAGGCTGTTTCAGGAAAAGAAAACGCAACAGGAAGCTCAGAGTTCGGCCACAGCACCCTCCGGAGAGGCCCGGGCTGAGGGGGAAGCCGTCTGCGTTCCAACCTCGTTTCCTCTACCTGCTGAGCTGCCTTCTCCTTTGTGCTCAGCCATCCTGTTGGCTATAAGAAGATGATCCCACAACACAGGGTAGATTCTTCCAGAAGAAAGTCCCAGTCCTTCCATGGCAATGTACTGACCTCCAGAACAAGGGGAGGCTGTCAGGACCACGGAGAGCGACCCCGCTTGGGGAGTCCACCCCCAGTCATATGGGAGCGTTACCACCTGACAAAATACTATGATTTCATGCAAAACTAGCGCCACTCACTACACTTCCCTTCAAATGAGTGTCTAAAAATCACAGATCCTCCCCCGGCCAAAATGCATCGCTAATAGAGCGAAAAGTGGATTTTGGGTGATCGCCCAGTGTAGTTTGTTGTTTAGCCAAACGTGGGGCTGGGAGGGGAGGATGAGAGGGCGGTGACCTCTCCCTTTGACCCCGTCTTCCTCCCCAAGTGACACTTCAGCCTGTTTCCCAATACTAAGGTATCCCTAGCTCACGAGCACAGGTGATAAGTAACCACAAATAAGCTGACGTTTCCTTCATTTTGTATTATTTTTTCTACCCATCATTGATAAACTGGCCTTGGGTCCCCGTCTGCATTACTTAATGCAGTCACGGTTCTCCGTGCGAAATGGCTGTCGGTTCGAGTTCATGGCAGGGACTGTCAACAGGCTGGGATATTTGCAGTGACAGGACTGACCATTCGCCTAATTAGAGCCAACGTCATTCAACGTCTGATGGTCAAGAGGGCGCAAGAAACGGCGGCATTTCTGTCCCTCTGGGAAGCACAGACAGTGAGGAGCGGCCACCGAGGACACGGGCGCCTGACCTGGGACAGGTGCAGGAAACGGGGGGGTGGACTGAACCCCACTCTGCTTAGGACTCGTCAGGGACACACACTTGCCGAAGATCTAGGACTGGGAATTAGCGGTGACCTGGACATCTGTGTCCCTGTCCTCGCACTCGAAACTGCTGCCCAAGATGAGACTAGGGGGCCTGTGAGCACGGCAGCTGGGCTCCGCTGCCTGTGGTTCTCAACGGCCGATGCACGGCTCTGCTGCTGGGTGACCGCGAGGACGCTGCTCTCTCCCCAGTGACGGAGGAGGAGTGGGAGTGAGAGCAGAAAACGCCCCTCTGGGGGAAAGCCACAGTGAACGGACCCTGGCTCACGAGCGGTGAGAGCTGTGGGGTCCCACGGTGCGCGACCGCGCCCACCTCCCTGACCCGGGAGGCCGGCAGGGCTCTGGCCGCACTGCGTTCCTCGGGTTCCACCTGGGGAACGCCTCCGCATCGAACCCCAGGGCGCCAAGGCTCAGAGACGGCGGTTCACCGCGACTCCTGCTCCTGCACCCGACAGCGGTACTCACTCTAGTTCCGAAACGCTCTGAACCAGACCCTGGCTCTATTTCGGCAGTTCTTTCCAATGGAAGGAGGAAAAGAAGACTGATTTCTGATCTGGCGATTCTTAACACTTGGCTTCGCTTTTGTCTCCTGCGTGTACTAATAAACAAGTGGGTAACTTTCTTCGACGTTTGCTCCTTTCTAGATCAGCTGCCAAACCGGGTGGTGCAAAGACTGAGTTAGCAAAAGAACACAACTTCTATGCTATGTATGTATCAGCCTTAAATTTTTAGAGTTTATTAGGTTTTATTTTGAACGTAATGTATTAGCATAGCAGTAGTGTATGTAATTAACCAATAAACGTGTAGATTGGTGGGTACAAGCTCAAAACTTTTTTATCAATGGGCTGCGTGGCTAAAAAGGCTTAAAGATAATGTCCTACCTAATGACCTTCATGTCTTTCGCAAGCCACAGACGTACGGGAATGAATTTAAAGATAAAAGTCAAATCAGTACTTTTCCAAATGGTGAAAAAAACAACTGCAACCCAGAGAAGGTCTTGCCATAAAAATTAACTTCACTATTCTCAAAATCTAGTGTCTCTAAGAGGCAGGAAATGCCTCATTTTTAGCCAGGGACACAAATAGCTTGGGGCCAGCTTAATTGCTAGTCTATCTTCGACCTATTAGCTTTAGTTTATAGGTTCTTAACAACTTTAAAGGGGAATTTGCCCACCAAAAAGAGGCTGCACCTGCTGAAACTTAACGAGAAAGGCGAGGGGAGTAATGGAACAGAAGAGACAGTCCCATTAGCTCAGCAGTTCAGTACTGCTTGAGTCCTGCCCTGAAAGCATCGTTTCATTTTAATTTCTAACACTGCCTAATAAAATGAGCACATCAAAGTTTTAAAAATACAAAAGCCATGTTAAAGGATCAAGACCACTTTTTGAAGGAAATTCGAGCTGACAGCACCTGACCCATTTCAGTGTTAACGTACCACATCTAGGAATTACTTTTATACTGACAGAGACATCTTTCGACAGGACTGGAGTCCCCACGCCTACACCCAAGACAGTGTAGCCGAAACAGGGCAGGCCAGCAGCTCAGCCTGAAACTTCTGTTTGGCTCTGGGCAGGCTGAGGACCCTCTGTGCACACCTGTTCTCCCAACTTTTCTGTGTCGCTGTCTGAAAAAAATTATGCGCATGAATACACGCACACATACGTGCACACAGACACACACATGACACCACTGGAAGGAACACGTGCTGCAGCTGTCTTGCAAGTAATATGGCGGATACCTGGGATGCTCTCCAGCTTCCTTCTGAGCTCTTCGTTTTCTTGTTGCAGCGAAATAACCTCCTGCTCCAGCTCTTGGCATCGCGGACAGTAGCCTTCCTCCTCCTCCTCCTCCTCCTCTTCCGGCAGTGTAGACGAGGATGGGTGGCCGTGGGACTCAGATGTCGCCGGGGAGGTCCAGCCCCCGAGCGTGTGCACAGGGGAGGTTGAGAGAGGATCCACGTCGGCCAGGTGGCCGTACTCACTGACCGACGGGGCGTTCGGAGTCGGAAAGCTCCCCGAGAGCAGGTAGTTTTGGAGAGAGTCGGTGAAAACCCTCAAGAAGGCAGAAGTTTGTTGTTTCCTTTGCAAATATTGCATCTCTACGTCTACACTGTCCGAGGTCTGACTGTGGACCCCCTTCCCAAGGTGACACTGCTCCTGTCTCTCAGTGTAACTTGAGCCTTCCTGCTTCACGCAAGAAATCATGGAGTGGGCGTGGCTGGAGTCCAGAAGTTTCCCTCCACAGTTTAAGAGGCTAAGAACGCGACTGCACTGCTGGGCAAAGGCATCCAGGATCATACGACTCTCTGAAATAAACAAAAGGACACGTCAGTGACCCGCAGCCAGAGGCCAGGGACAAATGAGGGCCTCAATCTGAACATTCGAACATGTGTGTTTCTACTCCCTGTCATAAACCAAGATCACGCAGCGACTCCACTATTAATAGAACACATAGCTCCTTGCTGTTCTGCAACCGGTGGGCTGCCGATGAGTCACCCCGCTCCCTTACGCTACGCGATGTCTGGACCGCAACTCTGGGCAGTGTACAGAGATCTCCCTCTCCGTGGCATTCGCTGGCCTGCACCAGTCGGAGCTCACACCTTCGGTTCCATTAATATCTTTACTCTAATGAATCGAGCCGGCCACGGCAGACTCCATTCCTCATTGATAGGAGGCTCAGAGCAATCATTACTTCTATTTCTGGAGTGCCCTCATGCCCTTGCTATCAATCAGCTGATACGATCCCTGCCGAGCACGTAGCTCCCAGATGCAAACTGGAGAAGAAAGATAAGTCTTTCTGAAGAGCTCACTAGAAATCTAATGGAACACAAAGAGCGGGCCTGCGGGCAAGGGATGGGCACAAAACACAACCGTACATGCCATCTAGCACCTCTGTGCACTCTCCTTTCCTTTAATTTATCTGTTAACTTGGAGTTCCGGTCCAGGCCAGTGTTTCTGGTGACCTCTGTCGGTCTCGTGGAAGAGATCAGCAGTGCCTCTTCCCCGAGATCGCCGGGTCTCCTGGAATGGCCCGTGGCGTGGGCGCCTGAGCCCACACACATGAATCCTAAACCATATTAATCGTCAAGCAGGGAAAAGCAAAAAGCAAGACCACCCCAGGCAGGCGGAGAGTCCACGGGACCGCTTCCTTCTTGGGATGGCCCTTCCCCACCCGCACGAGCAGGACTGCCCTCAGATCCCGGCAGGAGGAGCCCCGCCCGAACCTGCCCCACCCGTCCTTCCCGTGGAAAGGACCCAAGATCCAGGAACTCCCTGCTCAGTCTGCTTTGAGGACCCATCAGCCCAAAGACAGACCACGGTGCCGAGCCTCAAGTCTGGACTGGGGCGTCCGTACAGGTGTTTGCGGGGCCCTCCTAGCAGAAGATGACGCTTCACGGCTTGGCTGCAAATTCCAAAGTCAAACCTGGTCATGAGGAAGGTGCATTTGTCAAGGTAGATGGATGAAACCTATCTTACTTCACAGTTTGTTAGCTTGACTTATCCTTTTTAATTATTTGATATATAGTATGCGGGCCTGCATTTGACTCTTGTCCTGCGTCCCACAAATATTTAGGGGTGTCATTTCTTTACAATGACCAAGACCAAATAAACAAGAAAGTAAACAGTTGAACCATACAAGTGGGAGTTCTAAGATGTTGTACTCTCATTTTTTTGCTTCTTGGTTTTTGTTCTTTTATAAGTAAAATCAAAGGATGATATTGATTGGGAATTTTCAATTCTAGCACAACAGCACTTTCCATTCATTTTAATCCTATAATCCCATTCAAGACCTGGAGTTGTATTTACCGTTTGCATTTTAATCAGGAAAGTCCCAGTTGATTTATAAAGGCCTATAGACCTTTAATATAACCTTGATGCAAGGGACAAAATATGAAAGGAAAGGCTAAAATAAAATTGCCTGGAAAGAATCGCACCAATATATTTGTTCAGTGTCCTACAAAACACTCGGTAGTTTTAATCATATTGATAAATCACATTAGAGCATAGATTTTCAGGGAAAAAAAAATCTGACTTAGGGACAAGTGTGATTTGTTTTCTTAATTGAAGGATAAACTCGCAACACGCTGAGAAAAAATCATTATGTAATATACTACATTATGAAGATAATCTATTAAAGTACACTCAGAACATGAGCGAATAGCTACAATCATAAAATACTTCTTGCCTGCAGTTTTTTAAATGCTTCATTCTGAATTTGTTCTCAGAGTTGACATATACAAAAATAGCAGCTGTAACCCTTAAAGTTGAATTTTTTTCTTTTTAATATCTTGAAATATTTGAATAGTATTTTAACATTGACATATGGAGGCGTGTAATGAAAAATATTATCGTTACACTTAGTGGAAAACAGCAAATCTTTCAATACGTATTGCAGCCAGCAATACTGTAGCTTTCTAGACAGAATATAATTAGAAATGCAAGTGCTGTGCGGTGCCCGTTATCACCAAGAAATGGAGAAAAGTTCTGTTTTCGTATGAACACAGTCGAATGGCTATTGATCCATGATTCTTAACTGAGCAAAGTGTGAACATATATTTTGATTTTTTAACATTTTTTTTGTAGTCAAAGAATGCCCCACCCAACTGATGGCAGGGAAATAAAAGCCAACAGTTGACAGAGGGGCTTTAAAACTGTCTGCTTTATCCCTAACTTCTCTAAAATGAAACGCCGCAAACTGTTAGTACATCACAAAGCACTCTACAATGACCACTCCTCTCATTTATTTTGCTTTATTGTGCAGCCTACTGGGAGATAATATCATGCTGTAAATTGTGCCTACTCTGATTCCAAAATCTAAACCCGTGATTATTTTTTTAATTAAAAAATTCATTTCTTGAGGTTCCTCTGAATTTAAGTGGTTTAATCCATCCTAAATCTGATAAGTGAATCAGAAGAGGGACAGGAAGTAAGCAATCAAGCAGTCTCCCTACTTTACAGCCCTTCTTTGTAAGTAAAGCCTTGAATGGAATTTGCCCGTCACAGCGGATCCCCGAGAGAATTCTGTTTCTATGAAGGAGATCACAGTAGTCAAGATCAGTGGTAACCTTTTGATTTTAGCCCAGCGAAGGGTGAAATATATTAACATTAAAAATGCAGAAGCAGAAATTTTTTCCAGTGACCTACTATCATATATCCATATATTATACCTACCAAAGGATTCCTAACTGGTTCAAAATAGATGATTTCCTTAAAACATTCATTTAACTTCTTTTTAAGAGAGGACTTCATGACACAGAAAATAGGAGTTAGAAAATGAAAGCATCTTTGAGAGCACCAGCCTCGTCTTACATCGATGAACTATGCCTTTTAAAAAAAATGCCATCCAATTTTTTTTTTCATCATGGCAAACATCAACACAGCAAAACAGGATGCAATTTTTCTAAATAAATAAATCAATGATGTGTCAAAAATTAACAGATGAGTTAATATACTCGGCGCTATCAAAACCAGATGGTGCTTCCTAATATTCATCCTGCTCAGTCGATCCCTGAATATTTTCTGGACCATCGGTATATAAAATAGGATGCTGCTATTTGTGATGGCAAACAAAAGCAATCATGCCTGCCAAGCACATACTATAACAGGCAGCATTTCAGCTCTGCTAGACAGAAAGTAATTAGAATGCTTTTAATGTCCAAAAGAATGATGCTGATAGGCTGCCACAGATGTGTAGATTTATGAATATTTATGTGGTGGTTTATAGCTGACACTTTTATCAGTTGAAGAAGATAAAATATCTGCCTGACTCAAAAGCTTGACAGTCAGGTTAATAAAATCTCATTAAAGAGAATGACCTATGCAATTATATAGGATTTATTGTAATTCATTTTTGATTGTACTCTGCTTAAAGATGCAATTTCCCATTTCCTGATGCCAAATTTAGGCTGCATATCAAGATCTACGTGGGTTTTAACTCTAAGCCTCCCACAGAGGAAAAATACGCTTTTAAAACCGTGGTGTATTACCCCTTTTAAGGAAAATTATACTCTTCATGAGATTTTATAAGAATGTTGAAAAAAAAAATCTATTTTTAATCACATATTTCTGTTCTCAGTGGTTTATGGCCCTTCACGGCAAATAGGATTCACTTGAATCCTTTCATCTTTTCGCTGCATTTAGTCTGGACACTCAGCGAAGCCTCTCTTCTACCCTCGACTCGTTTCATCCCGTCGATGATGGGACCATCCTCAGTTTACTGGGTGGCCCGAGGCCCGGCGATCGCACTATTGTGAGGGTGCAACAGGCACCCCACCCCACCCCGCCCCACCCGGTGTGCTGCGGTGGCCGTGGTCTGTGCGCCCGTGCTCATTGGCTCCAAGTGGAACCACTAGTTTCTCAAAGAACCAATCAGCTCTTCAGGTGGCTGTCCCTCTGACGGCCACTCACGTCCCGGTGCCTGTTGTGAGATGGCTTTGTCCATCAGTGATT